TTTCCTTTTAGCCTTCAATCCCGTAATGCATCACAAAGTATTTTTGGCTAAAAAGAACTATTAACATTTTCAACGATATGGCACCTCATTCATGGCGGCCATCGCTGAACAATTGTGTGTTTACTATTCTTTGTGAATAGAAAAATATTTTAAGAACACTTTTATAAGCATTAATGGCTAAATATTTAGTGAAAAAAGATGTGCATCCATTTGTTTATGAAGAAAAGATGGTGTATTAATAAAAAGAAAAGTGATTAGTGCAGTGTTTATAAAAAAATAATTGTGAAGCAGTGGGGAAATTTTAACAACGAATAACTTAAAAACTATTAGCATTTGTACACAAAATGTTGATGATATCGGTCAATGAGCACCTCCTCAATACCCCCTGCGAATTTCATTAAAAAATTCGTAATACTTTGGGTGATATAGGAAATGGTCCATTATAGGAAATCTCAGCCTTATATGTATTCATCATACATACAAGCAGTAAAAGTGTATACCGTGATTTTGTGCCCTTATTTGTGGTGTATATTCTTTTAAAACGTATGGTAGCACACATTTGCGCTTACTGTCTGCCATTGTTATTTCTGTTTGTTTGTGAAATGTGGAAAAATTTGTAACACATTTATAAACGCGTTTTACTTAATCAATTAATTAATTAATGCGAATTAAAGTATAACAAACGCATGCCAACATTTTAAGGATAGCATATTACTGTAAATATAAGTGAAAAGTGGCGTTTTAAATTAAAATTTGCTGAAAGTAGTCGCGATATTTTAACAACAAATTACTTAAATGCTATTAGCAGCAGCATTGTGAAAGTGATAAATTCAGTTGTAGAGGACCTCCGTTAATATCCCCACCGAGTTTTATAAAAAAAATTTCTTATACTTTGAATGATATAGCTATTGGTTCCGTAATGAAAATCTCAGCCCTGAATATAAACAAAAAGCAGTCGAACATACTTCGTGTGGGAAAACTGCGTCACCTAATTAAAAATTCTGTGTACGTAGATTTTTGTCGCCCACTGTATGTGTTGATTATCAGGCTTTTTACAGCACAAGCCCGCCTGCCCACAAAAAACTTCAGTAAAAATGTTGTTAACAGCAACCCTTACTGTTCGTTGGCTACAGTGAATTAAGCAGAATTCCAATAAGAATGTAGATACCTACATAACTGCAGATGAAGTCTTGCGTTAACGTACAATTCTAATTGGATAATCCCCTTGTCATTGACCGCGTTCATTTTTGTTTTGTTCTTGTCATTATCGTCGTACAAGTGATGATCACGTGTGTGACCTTCCCATGTGGAAATGACAAATGTGGAAAAAGCAGCTGCCACAAACAACGATAGCAGAAAATCAACCCCCGAACGCGATTAGAATGCGCTACGTTGAAAAACTGGTTGTTCAGCTACGCTAATTACACTTCAGATATCCTGTGTGAAATAAATTCCATGCGCGTTTTCATATGATTCTCGCGATTATGGAAATTCCTGTATCTGCTCCCGATTTTGGCGCGCATTTTTTATTTTTACCAATTTTTTTATTATTTTTTTTTTTGTGAACACATTTCTTTAGTTTTTTTTACAATGTTTCAGATATGTTGATACGCCCGCAATTTCTATAGGAGAGAGAAAAAGACTGACTGGTTGCAAAAGAGCTTCAAGTGACAGTAAGTCCCTATCTCGCTCCCACATAGGTTGCAGAACGTTTATTTCGGAAACATGGTAATATTTGTTTTTTTTAACACAATTATCCACTTCACAAAAACTCGTATTTTATGTATTGGTTTATTTTCGTTACCACCCGCAAAATGTAGTCAGCCAGCCACCGTGCACATTGTAGCCACGTCGTTTTTTTGAAATGTAGCGCCTTCGATTCGAGACTACAAAAAACCCACTACTTGGGGATAAAATATACTGTGCGTGTGCTCCCCAAACTAAACGGCCAAACGGCTCCACTGTGCAGCTGCAAATGACGTTTGGAAACGATGAACGGCGACATGAAACGGAAAAACGAACGACGAACGGACCAATGAGAAAATAAACGCGCGCGCGTTTTGTGGTCGAATACTGCTGACGTTTGCATACGCTTGTATGTATGTGTAGTATGCATGGTCCCGCGCGTGTATGCGAGCGACTCTGTTTACGACGCTGCGAGAGAAACGCGCGCGAAACAGCAGCAGCGTGCTGACGACGATGGCGTTTTTGATACCGAAGGAACAAAGGGTCTATTTTTCGGGTGGTGGGCAAGAGAAGGGGGGAATTGTATGTGAGAAAAATAAAGTAATACTACAGTGAATATTCGAATTGAATAAATGTGCGCGGGTACATTCCCAGCGAATAAAAAATCCACGTACGAAGTGTCTAGAGGGCAACTAATAGAACAAAAAATAATACTGTTAACGCAAAGTAGGTAGACATCGTTGGCATGCTGGTAGAGTACAGGCATCCATTGGGTCAAAATGAGAAACAAAAAAAAACAGTTGGGCACAATTTCAAATATGAGGATGTGAAGTTACGTAGCCAGAGAAGAAAATATATTCCAGTCAAATCCTTTTCCATGATAATATCCACACTTCCAAAAACGAGGTTAAAAGTATGTAATCCGAGCGCTTTGAATTTGAAGTTGAAAAATTTATTACTGCCATGCATTTTATTTAAATAGGTCAAAGATTTCATTTTTTTCTATAAGTAGTTCTGCGGAAATTCCATTTCGTTTTTTTTTGTCAACTCTACTGTACTGAAAGTTTACGGCGGGTGAAATAGGCGGAAACGCCATTGCTGCCATTTGACTTCGCGTAGCATATTGCGTAATCATCTTTTCTTTGAAAAGCTTAAATGTGTCATCATTCTCATCACTTCCTTCTTATCCGCGTATTTGTTGCTTTTCAACGTGGTGGCTCGTTTCCACGTTGTACCTTGGCGGAAATTAATCAGCAGAACGTTCGCGTTCTTAGTAAAAGAAAAAATGTGCTTTTCATTTATATTGCACTTTTAACACATTTTTATGTAATAGCAGTAATTCACAAGCGAATATTAGATACATTTTAATTATCACTGGAAACTATGTACATATACATATAACAGTTAATAGCCAGTCAACGTTATGCCATAATAGCATAGAAAAGTATTCATTAAATATCCTTTACACATTTTTAAAAGTTTCTACTCCTTGCTGTTTTTCCCATTCGAATTTCCACGCACACACACGTGATTTTTTATGCAGCCATTTAATTTACACGACCGATTTTTTTTACCCGATTTGTAGTAGCATAGTCAAAGTTCCAATTGGATGTTCAAATTAGCGTGCACAGCAACAACGACAGCTACGCTACTTTCAATTAGTCCAAAGTCTTTTTTCTTTCATTTTACTATTCACACTTTGTACTATTTCTCCTTCAAAAGCCATTTTATGCGATCAACACGAAAAAACGAACCGTACACAACCACGAACAACGATCGAATGAATTGTGAAACAGAAAAACTCGACAGAAATGCGTTGTTCCAAAAAATTAACCTCCGTTTCAAATGCTTGCGCCGACCAAACCACACGAACGACCACAGACGATGCCTCCAACAAGACGGCAGTGACGCAGAGGGGGCAATGCTGAACACGACAATGGGTAATAAAGTGGTAGTGATTCGCTCTCTGCACCACTACAAAGTGTATTTCATATTTAGAGTTGACAGTGCTGCGCTGGCGAAGCGCAGGGGAAATCAAAAGTTTTACTGTCAGTGCGTTGGTTACATACTGCGCGTGGAGCAATTACTAATCGGTTTACATCAGCGATGGGCATAGTATGCTGCAAGGAGGAGTGAAACGCGAAGGGGCAGTGAGCGCAGTCGACGCCGACGTCTCTGTTAACGCAGTTAAGTTGGAGAGAGCGTGCACATTGCTGGCCTTTTGTTATATAAGTGAAAAAGCTTTTGGGTCATAATTTTTGGTTGCTATGTGTGCAATGGTTTCTAGGTTCCGGCGGCCATTTGAGAAGCATTAAAGGGGTAAGATTAACTCGCGCGCTGGATTTTTTTTCAAAAAGCGTTGTTGTGCAGATGGGGCATACATACGATTTGAGCTTTTTATGCTCTGCTCTTCCTAGCGTTGTAGCGATCCACACATGGGGATGTACATACATACATACATATAATATATGTTTTGAAGTGTAGTTTTAAGAGCAAGTAGTAGTTTCACCAGTTTGTTGTTTGTTTTCCTGTTTGCTTTGCAGCTTTGACTACTGCGCGCATTCAATTGTCGTTCTCATTTCAGCAGTCTTGCAGCGCGCGCCAAAGGTACTCTGTCTGGCCAAGGAGGTGGTGGTGAAAGCTTTATGCTGCCAAAAGTAGCAGCAGCAACAACTGTACATATGTAGTTGCTCAGCAAATCTACGCGCGTACATACAAATGTATGTACATATTTTAGTCATACATGCATACATACATGTGCTTATAGACTCGTATGTATACATGTGAAAATGTATGTGCAGATAAACAAGTTGAGCAAGTTTTGTCGTTGACACACATTTTCTACTGTTGGATCACCGCCACTGCTTGCTGCTTTGTTGCTTTCCCACTGCCGTCGAACGCCACCGCTGCTGCTAAATACTTACATATGTATGTTGTAGCACGAAAACTTGCTAGTTGGTGGCATAGCGTTGTGGAGCACTGGGCCAGTTGGCCCATGTAGGAGCGCCACTGTGCTAGGAGCATGTGTGTGTGTGTATTTATGTATGCATTCGTGTCCGTGGTTTGCGGCTGGTTTGTGCTGCTACAACTTTTTCTTGCCTGTTTGCAGTGCTATCGAATTGGTGGGGCGTTCATTTCTGTGTTTTAAGGAAATTTCCACTACTCTCTATTCCAACGGTGTTGTCATCTTTGCTGTTTTGTTTTTTTATTGTTGTTTTTTTTTTGTTACTGTGCAGTAAATACGGAAATTACAATGCATAGTACATATGTATCAGGGTAGCCAACTCGTGGGGAATTCCCCGATTTGCGGGGAATTTCGGTTTGCGTGGGGAATGGGCCGTTTTTTGTGGGGAGTTTCAGCTCGTCCAATTCTAGTATAATAAAATTTCAAATGGCTAAAAACAACCGTTGATTTTTTAGAATTTTCTTTGTCGCATTTGCTTTCATATAACGCATAAACATAATTTAATTTTATATTGAAGAAAACTGCAAAAACATCGGCGAAAAAATCCTAAAACGAAAATTTTTAACCACCTGAAACTTGCACTTTATTATTCTAGAATTGAGAGGGCTACAAAACTGCATACTCAAAAATTTTCTAGAAAATCCAATTAAAGGGCTCGAAATTTTTCTGAAATTTTGTTGATTTTTTTTTTTTTAATATTGCACAAAGTTCGAAACTTAGATTTTTACGGATTTTGTTAAAGAATGAACTATATATTTTTTTTTTAAATAGCTCAAATTACAAAAAGAAAATAATAATAATTGATGCGACTAAAAGTTTTTCGAACACTGCAAGTTTGGTTTGGCTTATCTATACAGAGGTGAATTACGTTTAAAAATAAAATAAGCAGAAAGACTAGTAATATATCAAATAAATTTTTTATTTTGTTTTGTTTTTTTTTTTTTAAGTAAAGAGATATGGGTGGGGAATTTTACGATATTTCGAGCAAAATCGGGGAATTTCATTGTCGAAATCGGGGAATTCTCAAAAAATGAGTCGGCTACCCTGATAGATATGTATGTACGCAGATTCTTGCAGTGGGAAAATAGTATTTGCATGCAATATATGCAATGAAAGCGAATAGGTTTTTACAGCCCAGTGCAGGAAATTGATTAATTTGATTTCGATTTTCTATTAGTGTTTGGAAATAAGGAAGACACCAGCATAGGTATAATCGAATTAAGTTTTCTTGGGTTTAAAGTAAATTTCCTATCTACCTGAACGTGGTCACTCTTCTATTTTTCAATGGTCCGTATTTTATTATAGAATATTTACATACATATGTACATGTTATTCTACCACAGGTTGTTTTCAATCAATGGTAGGTACAACTTTTTCTTCTTCGAACAACAGGAAACAGTTTTTTGGTTTTCATTCAATGATACAGTCGAACTTGCCTAAAGTGAACTTCTAAGCATACAATTAAGTTCTCCCTATTATGAATTGGTTTAAATATTTATGTTTCTGCACATATGAATATAAGTAAGCAAATATATTGCATTTTAGCCTCTTAGTTTTTTTTTATAATTTATATATTTAACGAGCACTGACCTTAGCCTAAGAGTTGCCTTTCTAGGACGGTCGCCTAACCTTTATAGACCTGTTTATTTACACTTTTCAACTAAAACATTCTGGTGTTAGTAAAATACTGCATACTGGGGAGATTAGGTACCCAGTTTGTTGATTAGTGGTCCTGAGCAACTGTTCTGAAAAGAAAGCGAAAATACATTAATTTATTAATAAATGTATTAAAATGTGTAGAAGAAATATATATGTATTTAAATTTGTCTGAGTATGTACATACGTACATATGTATGTAGGAATACTTGTTGTTGTTCATTAAATGAACACTACTCTCCCCCCCCCATATAAAAGATGGCAATCATATTATTCACTTTTTATACATTTTTAAATGAACAAATTATGCAAGGAAATAGGTATGTACAAACATGCATAAATACTCAGCTGATTGCTAAATGCATAAACGTTTCATATGCAAGTGTAAAATCGTAAGCACATTTGGGTGTTCAATGAAGCGCATGAAGGCAATGAATTCAGAAAAGCTGTTTAAAACCTTTAACTCAAAATATCTTCGAATAGGATTTTCTAGTATTGTACCTTGATACCCATGTGTAGTACCTAAAAATTATCGAATATATATTTAGTGTCTTTCATAAAGATAAGGTCACCTAATATTCATAAGTTTCGACTATCTACTCGCTATTAATTTTATTATTTTTATAAAAATATATTTTATTCCATAAAAAAACTCATATAAATTCAAGTTCCAAAATTGTAAAAAAATATTAAAGAAAAATCAAATCTGTTTTAGTAAAATTTAACGCTTCATATTAGGCACGTTCAGAAGGTGCAACAGCTAAGTAACTGTTGCGATTGCACCTTCTGAACCTGTTGTTTTGTACGAAATATGTATGTATGTTTGACAATTGTTTTATATACGTGAAAATGCACTACCAAACTGCATACTCAAAAATTTCTAAGAAATCTATTTAAAAATCTGGAAACTTTGACAAAAATTGGTTGCATTTTTAACAGGGACCGAGAACGCGTTCCAGTTTTGGTTTAGTACTGCATGAGAACGGCATGTATTGCCAAGAACGTTCCCGCAAAGAACCAAATGGGAACAAAACTATTGAGAGCTGTTTGAACGAGGAAAAATGCGAACAAAACTCTCGGGAACGTTCTCAAGAAGAACAGAAGGAACGAAACTTTCGGAAATGTTTCCAGAGTGAACAAAATGAAAACGAAAGTATCGAGAACGTTTTTAAGGAGGATCAAATAAGAACAAAAGTCTGACGTACGTTCTGCTAGAGAACAAAAGTTTTGAGAATGTAACGTTAAGAACGTGGGGGAGTTTGCTTGTTGAAATAACAAATCGTTTCGGTGAGAACCCAATTTGTTAATTCTAAGCCAGGGGAAATCTGGATCATTTAAACCTCCAGATCTTTTATCATTAGGGTGAACTGTCCATTTATGGAACAATTTTTCATTTTATGTGCAGGAAAAGTTCGTGTCTTTCAGTTTTTTTTATTTATTTAATTTTAATATTTAAAAATTTCAAACTACTAAATGCTATGCGAAAAATTTTCCGTTCTTCGTTAATAGTTTAGAGAAGATTTGTTCCTGTTTTGTTTTCTAACAGAAATTTCCTGAGCCTAGTTCCCAATTTTTTTCTGTTCGCATTTTATTCTCTTTGGAAAAGTTCGACAGGGTTTTGTTCTTAGATAATTCGGTTTTGGTTTTGAAGCGTACTTGGGAACAAAACTGCGAGAACGACATTAAGTTTAATAAGGTCAGAATTCGGTTTAAAAACGCCCTAGTTATGAGATAGGGCGTTCTTCAACCATATTCAGAGATAGGGCGTGGCGTACTTGAAAAAGTTTTCTAATATAGGCGTTTTCGAACTGGTTGCCGAGAAAAGTCGATCTTCCACTCAGATGTCGATATGTATCAAGAATGATAGAATACAAGATTCGCCGATCAGAGAGGATTTTTGAGAATAACTTTTGTGTCACGTCACACTGGTGCAATTGCGAGAGAGAAATGCCAAAACGTGAGCAAGAATGGAAGAAGAAGAAAAAATGTTGCAAGGAAAACGTAAACAAGTTGCACAAGTGTGACGTCATGCAAACAACGATTCTGTCAAATTCGTTAAGAGAGGAATAGCGGTCCGAGATCGGCGCAACCTATGTATTCTCTCAATCGTGGATATGTATATGCATATGTACATACCTAATATATGTACGAGTATGTATCATCCACAATCTCTAACACTCTACCCGGCGTTCCTACGACTAGGGATGTTCCGATATAAGTAAATATGAGTATGTACTCGATACTTTTGTTTCAATACCAACTACTTTTTTTACTTGAATCGATTCATTGATACCTACTTAGTATCGAAATAAAAGTACTTCTATCGAATCGATTTGAGGAAGTGCCATATCTTTCGGTCATATATTTTCTATGGAAAATAATTGCTTCGCTTTTATGAAAAATAATTGATCAAAACAATGGCACCGCCAAAATCTAAAGAGGGGATATACATATTTTTACAAAGTTCAAGCAATGCCTTGTAGCCGTAACGTTTTGTGGGAACCTTTCAAAGGTTTAATTTTTTGTCTAAATAATCGTATTACTTCTAATGTTACTAATGATCAAATAAACATATCGATACCTCAACTGAAAATATATCGAAAATATTTGAGATAGGGCGTTTTTGTACCGAGTTCTGAAAGAGGGTGGTCTTGAAAAGTTTTCTGATATAAGGCGTTTTTCAATAAAATTCTGGAATAGGGTGCTTTTGAAAAGTTTTCTCAGATAGGGCGCTTTCAATTTGGCTGCCGAGATAGGTCGATCTACCACTCAGGTGTCGCAAAAGGTATGTCACAGATAACGCCTGAAAATTACTTTCGCTTTGTTGCATATAAGAGGATGAAAAGTCATCGATATAAGTAGGCATCGATACATTCGGTTCACTCATATAAGTAGTATCAAAATAGGGATTTGAGTAAACTCATTTGAGTAGGTATCGATACTTTGATGGTCTCGGAACGTCCCTACTTACGACTTTACTGCCGAATGTCCCTAATTTAAAAAAAGGCGTAGCCGCCTTATGGGAGCAGGAATTTAGAATGTAAGTTTGGTATCAGACATACTTCTAAGCTGCTTTACCAAGTAAGGTACGTATGTACGCGGAATGTAGAGCAGTGTCTCGTAGGAAGCAGGTATCACACGATTTGTACATTTTGGCAGTCACAGAGTGTTATTGTTTAGAAATTTAAGTTCTGCTCAATAAAAGAATTTCCAGACAACACCACTCTGTTACTGCCAAAATGTATTAATCTTTACAAATCGTGTGATCACGATGACAATGTTGGTATTAAAATCTGAAAGAAAATATGGATTATCTGGTAAGGTGTTTGTTTACCTACATATGTACATATATATTTTCCCCGTGGGAATATGAACATATTTGTATAAATAGGTATGAACATACATATATATATTGTACATATCATGAGAAAAATATGATACATATTGCATACAAATGTAAATTAATGAGCAACATTGATCTGAACATATTGCGAAACATCATCATCATTTGATCGGCACACTTACTCCCAGCTACATCTGTTCGGTCGCAAAGTGGCTCAGTGGGTTAAATGTGCAATTCGCCTATTAAAAGTGGGCGAAATAGCGATGGGAAAAAGGAAGGCACAATAAAAACATAGCCGCAGCAAATCAGTGGCTACAAAATGTAATGCTACAAAACACAGTAAGTAGAGCAAGAAAAATAATCGCAACAATGCGGGAAAATACATGGGCATGAGCAAGTATGTTTGTATATATAGTATATATGTACATGCATGCATACATACATACGTACATAGGCATAAATGTAGGCGATGCAGAAAAGCAAAGTGTCACAACAAATAAATGCAACTAGCAAGAAAAGTGCTTTTTTTCTTGTTGCAGTTAAAAGTGGGCCACGCGCAGGTTGCTTCGCCAAGAGAACTGGTTGAATGCGCCACGCTGGAAGTGGGGCAGTAGTGTAGTTTTATATGTACATACTCACTTCGAGGTACCCTGTAGAAAAAACCAAACCATTGCCATCTGAATGTTGAATATTATAGTGAGTGTTGGAAGTTTGGCTTTATTTTCGCTAAATTTGCTTTTTTTGCTTTAGGGTTCTTTGAGCTTAGTCGCGAAAATTCCGGTCTGCCCCCAACTAAAAAAAAGAAAAATCTTTTTTATAAAATAGAACAAAACTGTTAAGCTATCTCTATGGTTTTTCCAAAAAAGGAAACTCTTTTTTATGCAGAAGATAAAGAAACAACGANTCTCTATGGTTTTTCCAAAAAAGGAAACTCTTTTTTATGCAGAAGATAAATAATAATACGCAGTTATTTCGATTTTTATTAGGTTGCCTAATTAAAAGCAAAGAATGAAGAAACAACGGTGCGCTGGCTTACAGCTCTACTCATCGCGCTGCTAACATAAACTATTCGATAGGTATTCCAGCCTGAAGGCCTATCTGGGATGGGCATCTGCCGCCTGAGAAAATTCAATCAGCGCACAGTGCGTTTTTCACTCTAGCTTAGTAGATAGCTTTCGTTGTGGTTTCATAAAGTACTTGATGCTTATGGTCCCTGTTTCGGGAACCACCCAATCTAACATAACCTAACCTAAATATTAAATATCTTCACTTGACGAGAAGCTTATTCCCGTAAGGTCGTTCTGTATCGAGCGGAAAAAATTGTAATTTGATGGAACAAGGATGGGTTAGGGCTTCCCTTCCGGTATCACCGAGATAAGTTTTAAGTTAAGTTTAAGTGCGATATGCGGCCGAGCATTGTCATGGTGGAAGAATAATGTCTCATATTTGGTTGCCCATTCTGGCCGTTTTTTTCGAAATTTCTCCACTTCAATTGCATCGGTTGTTGTCTATAGAGAGCCCCGTTGATCGTCTGATCACTTTTAATAAGCTCATGACACAGGATTCCCTTCTTTTCCCAGCAAATGCATTTCCCTTGCTGCTATGGCTATTAGGCTTTGCCGCTTTGGCGTCGATGGTCCGGGTTTGCTGCGTTTAACATACACCTTTTGACGCTTAGCATTGTTGTACCGTTGAAGAGGCAGTTGGGAAACAGTAACACCATATCTCTTTTGTTTTGAGTTCGTGAGACATTGGGTTTGGCACGGTTCTTTGCCCAAATTTACCTCCGATTCGGCGTTACAAACGTTGATGGCCTTTCGCGCGCTCCTTGTCGGATATGTCAAAATCACCACTTTTGAAACATCGGAACCAGGCGGAAATTGATATTGTATGCTCTCGAGTTTTCACATGGAAACAGAAAACTTAATTACATTGCTGATATTTTCAAAGCAAAATAATGGTGTCCTCTGTTAACAATCCTTTAAACTTGCTTGTCTATCTTGATTTTTTTTAGCTATAAATCAAATATTGATTTCACTTTGTTTTCACGCCCGTTTAGCTTTTTATCTGGAAAACTTCTGGCAACACTGATTCTAGTACCCAAATAGCACAGCTGAACTCAATAGTTCGGAACTACTTCCGTTTTCCTGCAGGGTTTAAACTGCATGCATACCCTGCAGAAAAAAATTTTCAATTGCTAAAAAGCAACAATCTTGTTGTTAGCTTTTTTGCGGGATTTCTATAAAATATATAACTTTGCAAATACTTCTTCGAGTTGAGGACAAATAGAAGGAAGATCGAAATTTCATTCTATCATTTTGAAGTTATGCCTGACGGAGTTTGAATAAGGGACCACCTACAGCAGAATATGTAAACAAATATGAAATGTAATAAGATAAATAAAGTAAACAATATTTTGTTTTTCTTTTTGATATCTTATGTTCAAAAGAAGTTAGTTACAAAGAAGTTAGTTACATAAAATGCATAGGGAACCACCATTGACTATTTCGCGGGCGTTGTAATGGAAATATAATTAGCTTTCGTCAAAGAAAATATACAGATAATAGTGATAATAGTGACTTTTACTGACTTTAAAGTTAGCTTATAGTTAGATACATTTCCTGCAGGGTATACATATATGTACATACGAATGTATGTATGCATATTCACAAGTACATAACATAGTGCAACTGTTGTTGTTGGTCGGTAAGTGGAACCTGCCTCCGTTTTACGTATTGGCAATAATCATGGGAATTGAATTTGCAACGTCAGTGTTGGAAGATGGAATAGAGAAGATGAGGCAGGAATAGAACTGGTTTCTAGAACAGCAAGAAGTGGTGAATGAAATTCCTTTTGATAGTTAAACACAAGCCACTTAGATAAATACATATATACATACAAACGAAGTGCAGGCTAGGTAGCCGCGGTCGTCTATAAGACACACTTAGGCTCAAGGGCCATTGTGACGCCGCATGTGGGGTTAGCAACTCCAATTCCTCCTAAACACATTTTGACTTCGCAAGAGTTTTAGAAGATTCCTGATTTCCACGCATCTAAGCTACCCCAAGTTATTGAAGAATTGTCTTCGTCGATACGCATACTTGCCAATTAGGCAGTGCTTTTGCATGTGATTTCGTCATGCTATCTGCAGGGGAATTCCTGTTTCACCATTTACATTCTCAATAGGGAGTTTGGTTCAAAATCGCCTTTCAATTCCTCTCAAAGTCGCAGTGTCCTGGAACCCATATTTTCACCTGTCATTTCATTTCAGGGCTACCATGGAGGTTGTCGAAGGATTTGATTGACGCCTGGCTGTCAGTGAAGATATAGATATCAGCTTGGGATATAATATTGCACCAGTTTAGTGGCCCTGTCGATTACCATCAGTTCCGCTTGAATAACGCTATAATGGTCCGGAAGACGAAAGCTAAGGTAGATTCCCAGGTGTTCGAAGTATACACCTCCAACAACCCTATTTTCGAGCTTTGAGCTACCTGTGTAAACAAGGATGGACTCGCCACTTCTTAGAGCGTCTCGTATCCTACCATGCCCATAACTATCATACGAATTGTCTCAAGGCTTGCGACCTGTTTGCCATGTACGACTACATAGATCTATTGGAAGAAAATTCAGAAGAGCATATAGTGCCTTAAGTGGTGTTCTCATCGCACCAGTTATGAGCGTGGATGCAATCATTAGGTCTTTATCCATATTTTTTAAGTTTATCCCTTTTCGAATGGTGTCCCACCATAGAGAATTGGTTTAACTACCGCTCTATATAGCCAGTGTAATATTTTAGCTTCCATCCCGATCTTTTTCCTATCGATCTGCAGCAAGAGTATAGTACTACTGTTGCGAACTCTATCTGTAAAATTTTTGCCCACTTTGGTTTCCTATCTAGTGTGATACCTATATATCTTCCTCTAGAGTTATAGGATCAAGGAGGGGTATCCTGAACGTTTCTAGGTCCGCCTCTCAGGATATGTTCCCAGTTCTCGTCTGTTACAACATAGAGATAGTTTGTTAAGAGTGTTTTGAATTAGATCGACAATGGTTGAGAGATGTTTGCTAAAGCAAAGCTATTACAATATCGTCGGGGTATCTTATCATCAATATCTTCAAGTTCTTGAAGGAGGCTGTCTACTGCTCTGTTCCAGATGAGATTGCGTGAGATAACGCCACCTGAACGTACCCCTGACCGGGCCCCTTTTAATTTGTGATGCACCGAATCTTGCGTTCGTCGATAAACAAGGCTAGCGGTTTGCTTACTGCCAGATTTTTCAGCGATGAGAAGAACGAAGTGTATTGCAACAAAAACAAATATGTAAGTAAATAAGTAGTAACAACCACCCTACAATGCATTTATGCAGCACCAGTGAGAAATAATAGCAATGCAAAAGGATGATGTGCAGTTTTTTTGTTGAAGTGGCAATTGCTGTTGCGTTGTAATTTGCAACTTGCAACTCTATGTTTTGATTTCAATTGTTGTTTTCTCGTTAGCTTTATTGATATGTGTGCAAAATTGGGTTAGTGGCGCATTTTGTGTAAATCATGACAATCAGTTGCATGCAACACCAACAACAAGCATGGCAACAATAGCAACAACAGTTTGAGTTGAGAACACAGGACGAAGTGCAGTTAAGCGAGTTGCGGAAGAGTATCTACTAGTATATCATTCTATTCGCTGCACTACTATAGCTCGAACACAATGAAAACGACAAGCTATAGACCACAGCTGTCAAATTATTGCTACACGTACTCTTATGTAGATAATTATTTTAGCGACGACCGGGCTACGCGACGGCGGTGGTTGTGGCCAGATTAGATTGTATTTCTATTTTTCCGGCGACAGATAAGGTTCTTCCTCTTCTTTTATGTCAAACGCATACAAATTTATGATGCCGCTGTCGCGTTGAAAAAAATTATGTCGTCATCGACAAAGCGTTTAGATAACAAATTGGAAGCTGTGGCCCGTAGCTCGTCGTTTTCAATGTGTTCAGAACTTTATTATTTTGTTCATTCGGCGCCTTCTTGGTTGTGCTAACAACATTTATACGTGGAAAAAAATTTATGCACATGCATAAATGCATATGAAGCAAACAAATTGTTTTCATATATGGTCTACGGTAGTGCGTGCACTGTAACGACTAAGTCCTTATAACNGAAGAGTATCTACTAGTATATCATTCTATTCGCTGCACTACTATAGCTCGAACACAATGAAAACGACAAGCTATAGACCACAGCTGTCAAATTATTGCTACACGTACTCTTATGTAGATAATTATTTTAGCGACGACCGGGCTACGCGACGGCGGTGGTTGTGGCCAGATTAGATTGTATTTCTATTTTTCCGGCGACAGATAAGGTTCTTCCTCTTCTTTTATGTCAAACGCATACAAATTTATGATGCCGCTGTCGCGTTGAAAAAAATTATGTCGTCATCGACAAAGCGTTTAGATAACAAATTGGAAGCTGTGGCCCGTAGCTCGTCGTTTTCAATGTGTTCAGAACTTTATTATTTTGTTCATTCGGCGCCTTCTTGGTTGTGCTAACAACATTTATACGTGGAAATGCATATGAAGCAAACAAATTGTTTTCATATATGGTCTACGGTAGTGCGTGCACTGTAACGACTAAGTCCTTATATGTATAGTAGCAGTAAAATCAGCAGCAAAGTGAGAAACATCAGCAGCAACAGAGGTATTACTTAAAAATTTAAGTTACCAGCAAAGCAAGTGTTGCGTACATAGTTGCCGAGTAGGGAGAGTTACGTACTATAATCCCGCGGGGCCAGGTTCGATCATCGGTTCCAGCGATTACCAAGCATTTTGATTTTATTTTTAATATTTTGAATTAAATTGATTTGAATTGAGATCTATTTTTTTCGTTTGTTTTGTTTCATTTCACATTATTTATTTTATTATTAGTTAATTTAAAATTGTTGGTTTAATTTTATAAAAACAAGTCCACACAATTATAATTACTTACATGAAAAATAAATAAGAGCAATGATTGAATCAGAG